AAGAAAAGAAAAGAAAATAAAATAAAATAAAATAAAACGAGACAAAACAATAAAAATAAAAATAAAAATCAAATCAAATCCATTTCTTTTTCTTAAACAAAATTTCATTCAATTTCAGCTGTCTCCTTTCAGCAAAATGGGGACTTTCTGTTAACCGCTCCCAGGGGGGGGCATCGACGCAGGGGGTGGGGTCTCCCCATGTAGCTGCTGCTGCCTGCAGCAGCAGCTACTTGGACAGACCCCTGCTGCTGCTGCAGGCAGCAGCAGCTACTTGGGGAAACCCCTGCTGCTGCAGGCAGCAGCACCAGCTACTTGGGGAGACAGACCCTTGCTGCTGCTGCCTGCAGCAGCAGCGGCCCTTGGTGTTATTTTATTTTATATGAAGGCCGCCGGGGCTGCGCCGCGGCGGCCGTGGAGGCGTTGCTGTGAGAAGCTCCTCTACAGCAGGCCAGCTGAGCGGGGTTGGGTGCCTTAGAGATCATTGGGGGCTCTAGGAGTGTAACCCCACACTCGTCGGTGGCTGCAGCAAACTGTGTCTGTGTCTGTGTCTGTGTCTGTGTCTGCTGCTCTGTGTCTTGTGCCCCCAACGACAACACAAACGCAGACAAAGGCCCGGCTGTGAGCGCCAACAGGGATCTGTGGAGTCGTAGCTGCGGCGGTGCTGGGGGCCGAAGAAGCTGACGATGTGGGGGCTGAGCCCCCAGTCCCTCCCATGCTATGCAGAGACTTTTTCAAGTTGATATAAAACTTTACTTTTTTGTGTAATATTTTCAACAAGCATGGCTCCTCAGTAAGCTGTTACTCCGAAAGAAAATTTTAATATCGGTGGCGCTGCAGATACCCATACATCTCCTCTGCTCCAGCAAACAACAAAAGATGTTAACAAAAAGGTAAAAGAAAGTTTCTTCTCTTGGTTTTTTTTTCTCTCAAGTTGTGCTGCTGCATCCCCACTACTAAACCCGGCACTGCAGCATGCTGCAGCACCCGAGTGCTGCGGCGACAGCACCAGCCCCGGACCATTCTCGCCGCCTCTTTGCATGCGAATACACCTCGCTATCCACAGTAAGTTCTACGCTAGAGAAACCTCCGCTGTGCTGTCCCGTGCCCTGCTCAGCGGCCAGCC